CGGGAGGAAATATCATGAGCTCCGTTTTTGAAAGGTTGAGTTTTAAGAAATGTTGCGACATCCAGACGGATATGTCAGTGAGTAGATTAGTGACACGAGAGGACACGGAGGGGGTGAGTTGCGGAGTAGAAAGATAGATCTGAGTGTCATTTTTTTATCGGTTTCCTCAAAATAAAGTGATCGGTAATACCAGGGAGAGCGATATGTTGAGTTGTGACAGTCGGCCGATGTGCGTGCACACCCAGTAAAGGTATAAAGGGTCGCAGGACTGCACAATGGGGTGTTGTAAGAACATCAGCTTACCATAAACAGAGTGAACTGTCATCATCAACTAACTAATTTCTTGTGCTGGACACGAGGAAAACCTTCTCCAATTGTACAGGTCCTGACAACATGGGGTCTCAAATCCTTGGAAGAATTAGTAGCTGAGATGGGACAGAGGGGCGCTCAATGGTTTTATCTTAATCTGTCATCAGGGGCATCACTGAGGAGGCCCCTGACGACTTTAGAAGACCTTTGTCTGAAAAGTAAAGGGGGCTCACATATTCTGTCAAGGCCGTACGATATTCTTATATCACATATGTACCCTGTGACGGACCCGCCTGGTACCCCGACTGGGTACCTCCGTCAGAAATCAGCTTCCTCTCCCCTGGAACCTGAATTCCAGTGTCCTCAGCCCAAACCTGCCTAATTATTGGACAGAACCAATATCTTAGGACAGAACGCTAAACCCCTCAAACATCAGACAACACCAATGTTGAAGTGGAAACCAAGAACTGGTTTATTGAAGAAAGCACACAGAGTTTATACCTCGCAGAATCAGATAAGAGTTCAGTGTGTTGCATTGAACAGTTCCCGCCCCTAGACAGCCGGGTGCTGCATTGGAATTCCTTAAGCACAGACACTCTTTGAACCTAATGAATGTCCTTTTATTAGTTAGGAGCTTGATCACCATAAACCAGTGGTTCTCATCCTGTGTAACCTCAGGACCCGCATTTGTCCTTGGTCATTAAGTGGTGACCCAAGTCGCACTGAAATGGACATTGCGGTACCGTGCATTCCAGTGCAGGCGATTGAACTGTGGGCGGGAGGTGTGTTTGGGTTGCCATTACAAGAACTGGAGAGGATCCTCAGAGGGGGGGTCCAGTGCTGGGCTGCTGTGCTATGACGGAGCTCCATCCATACATGCATTGCTTGTACAACCTCCTTGCGCGTCCTGTGGAGGTGCCGGGAGCCAGAATGCGACATCACTCCGGTCCAGGCACCTCTACAGGACACGTGAGGGAGCTCTAAGCAATGCAGGTATGGATGGAGCTCCCTCGTGGCCATAGCTCTAGCCCACCCCACCTCAAGCTGGCACTCGTTGCCGGGCAGTATATTCTGAATAGCTGCTCTGCGTGAGAACTGACAGTGCTGCGCTAGGAGGAGGCTAAGAGACTCTCAAATAGAAAAGTGGAAGGCACGCAGTGACCCATTGAACATAGGGTCGCCACCCACTTTTGGGTCACAACCCACCAGTTGAGAACCAAGGCCATAAACAATGGCCCCTCCAGACAGCCTGCTGCCTATAATAAACACAGGGTCACTTCAATGTCATGTCAGGGGAAACATGCAGTATTTTCACTCCACACATAAACCTAGGAGAATAGTTCCATGTAACCCCAAGAGGTCTGAGGGGGGTCTTCATAGTTCTAGGTCCATCCATAGTCAGTAGGAAGGAGGCTAGCCATCAGTCTCCTCCAGCAGCCCCAGTGACCATTCAGTCCGTCACATACCCCTCTTGCCCTTTTGTGGTTAAAGAATGGGAGAGAGAATTGGGGTATCGACTTGGGTCTGCAGAATGGGGATAAGGCCTTTTTATTAGTGTTCAAAGCGAGTGTAGATGCGAGAACGCAAGAAAGAAATGATAAGATCTTAACCTCCCTGGCGGTATTCCCCAGTGTGGCTCGGGGTTACATTTTCAGTACCAAGAGCGGTAACCCCCGAGCCACACTCGGGATTGCACAAAAGAGTCACTTACCTTGTCCCTACGAGCCCGCGGTGTCCTCTGCTGTGTGCGCCCGGCCGATGCCGGCATCCTACTTTCAGTTTCGTTTTCGGCGTCACAGCGGGAGGGGGCGGAGCCGGCGGGAAATTCAAAAGTGAAAACATGCAATATACACAGAATACACACAATACAATGTAATCTGCTATGATTTACATTACCGTATCAAACCATTACACCTCAGTTTTGTCCCTCGAGCTTTGTCCGGGAGCCCTGCCGGCACTTTTACCGTTCTTTCTGCCTGGAAACTTGACAACGTCCGTGGCATCCAAAAAGCATTTCTTTAGGTCAAAACTTGTTTTAGACCAGGTAGAAAACAGCGATAGTGATTTAGAATCACTTGCAGAATCGAGCGATAGCGATTCGTGGGGAAATTCGTCATCAGACACTGAAAGTGACAACAACGACGAGACTGCAACCGAGCTCAGTGATTGCAACAGCTCCGGCATCCGCTACTCGAGCCGCCTAACAGGGCGCCTCCTTCCCCTGTGGGCGTACTGTTATGCGTTCCAGTGTGGAGCGCGGAAGTGACGGCAAGGTTCCTCTTCCGCGTTCCACCTGTATTTAAATGGACTTGGAACGCAAGGACCGCGTTCCACTAGTGAGTTGTTCGCCCAACTACTCAGGAGCCTCCACCACATCTCCACTTACTGGCATCTCATCCAGACCAAATACAGCCACCTGGGAGTCCTCACAGCCCACCATGGAACCTGCACAACCACCTGACAGTCCTCACAGCCCACCATAGAACCTGTACAGCCACCTGGGAGTCCGCAAAACCCACCATAGAACCTGTACAGCCACCTGGGAGTCCGCAAAACCCACCATAGAACCTGTACAGCCACCTGGGAGTCCGCAAAACCCACCATAGAACCTGTACAGCCACCTGGGAGTCCGCAAAACCCACCATAGAACCTGTACAGCCACCTGGGAGTCCGCAAAACCCACCATAGAACCTGTACAGCCACCTGGGAGTCCGCAAAACCCACCATAGAACCTGTACAGCCACCTGGGAGTCCGCAAAACCCACCATAGAACCTGTACAGCCACCTGGGAGTCCGCAAAACCCACCATAGAACCTGTACAGCCACCTGGGAGTCCGCAAAACCCACCATAGAACCTGTACAGCCACCTGGGAGTCCGCAAAACCCACCATAGAACCTGTACAGCCACCTGGGAGTCCGCAAAACCCACCATAGAACCTGTACAGCCACCTGGGAGTCCGCAAAACCCACCATAGAACCTGTACAGCCACCTGGGAGTCCGCAAAACCCACCATAGAACCTGTACAGCCACCTGGGAGTCCGCAAAACCCACCATAGAACCTGTACAGCCACCTGGGAGTCCGCAAAACCCACCATAGAACCTGTACAGCCACCTGGGAGTCCGCAAAACCCACCATAGAACCTGTACAGCCACCTGGGAGTCCGCAAAACCCACCATAGAACCTGTACAGCCACCTGGGAGTCCGCAAAACCCACCATAGAACCTGTACAGCCACCTGGGAGTCCGCAAAACCCACCATAGAACCTGTACAGCCACCTTAGATTCCGCACAGCCCACCATAGAACCTGTACAGCCACCTGGGAGTCCGCAAAACCCACCATAGAACCTGTACAGCCACCTGAGAGTCTGCACAGCCCACCATAGAACCTGCACAGCCACCTTAGATTCCGCACAGCCCACCATAGAACCTGTACAGCCACCTGGGAGTCCGCACAGCCCACCATAGAACCTGTACAGCCACCTGGGAGTCTGCACAATTCACCATAGAACCTGCACAGCCACCTTAGATTCCGCACAGCCCACAATAAAACCTGCACAGCCACCTGAGAGTCCGCACAATTCACCAAAGAACCTGCACAGCCACCTGAGAGTCCGCAGCACAATTCACCAAAGAACCTGCACAGCCACCTGAAAGTCCACACAGCCCACCATAGAACCTGCACAGCCACCTGAGAGTCCGCACAGCCCACCATCATGGAACCTGTACAGCCACATGAAATTCTGCACAACCATCTGAGAGTCCGCACAGCCCACCATAGAACCTACATAGCCACCTGAGAGTTCGCACAGCCCACCATAGAAGCTGCACTGCCATCTGAGAGTCCGCACAGCCCACCATAGAACCTACATAGCCACCTGAGAGTTCGCACAGCTCACCATAGAAGCTGCACAGCCACCTGAGAGTCCGCACAGCCCACCATAGAACCTACATAGCCACCTGAGAGTTCGCACAGCCCACCATAGAACCTGCACAGCCACCTGAGAGTATGCACAGCCCATAATAGAACCTGCTCAGCCGCCTGAGGGGAGATAGCAGGAGAGGACATTAAGGGCATCGGAGGAAAAAAAGGTCCCGGAGATCATAACATCCTACCAATTGTCACGGTGCATGTCGCAGTTTCTGAGTCGCTTTATACTAGACATGGTCTTTGCCCTCCCGGCTTTAACCACATGAAGACCGGGGCGTTAAACCCCCTTCCTGTCCCGGCCATTATTTTATATTCAGCGCCGAGAGACATTTCGGTCTCGTTCACACCTAGGTGTATTGCATATGCGCGACCGTCGCGATTCGCGGTAATAAAGTTGCGCGTTTTCGAAGGCTACTTGGCTGTATCCCAAAGGAAACGCGCAACAAAACGTCCCAAAGTAGTACCTGTACCTTTTCAGGCGTGGGCCGTTTTGTAGCGCGTTAGGGACGGGCGGAAATACGCCAAGGTGGGAACGAGACCATTGAATACAATGGGATTTAGATTTTTGAGCGTTTTGTAGAGCGTTCATCGAGCGTAGAACACGCTACAAAATGTTCAGGTGAGAACGAGGGCTTATTCAGTCACGCAACGCTCAGTACTAACATTACTTTTATACCATTTTTTAGGGACATATAGAGCTTCCTTTTGCCGGTATTTAATCACCACTGGGGGTATTTTTTAATTTTTTACTATATAAAGTACTGAAATTCTTGAATTTTATTTTTTTTCTTCCTACATTACGTTATGAAACATTTATTATCCATTTTTTTTTTTGGTAAAATATAAAAGTCGTTGTCGCGTCAGGTAAATAGACAGCAAACATGCCAAGCCTTAAAATTGCAAAAAAACTACCACACCCATCATTGTCCATTGGCAACACTTGAAAAGCTTTTACCACTTATCAGTTTAGTGTTATCAGTGATTGATGGCTCTAGAATTATTGCTAACATGCGCGGCACAATGGACGCAATCGTTGTTTTTGCATGAAGGCACACCCGATGCATGTGTGCATTTGCATGTGTGTGTATGGTTGGGGAGGGGGGGACTTTGAAACATTTTTGTGCTTTTTTTTTTCCATGACTTTCATTTTTTTTTACAGTTAACTTTATTGCTATCGCCTACTGGCTTCTAAATATACAGTGACGGGTCTTCTTTATGAAGACATCAGGGGTATACTAGACCCCTAATGTGTCCCCTAGGGTATAGCCGCCCAAACGCTTGCATGTAAACAGCCATCGCTGTGTAAATTGCTGTCACCAAAGGGAGCGGGCCAAGGACATTTTAAAACGCCCGCCCACATTCAAGAGTGTCCCGTCCGGCCGTTTAAATTACAGCGGCTGGACAGGAAGGGGTTAAAGTCTATGGACTCCTTAACAATGAAACTTGTTGTACTCGCTCCTTTATTGTCTGTTAATCATATCATTGAAGGGGTTTTGTTACATCTGTTTTATAAATGCCGATACATACCTGATGATCCTGCCAGAAATCTGGCTGGGGAGATAACTTCCTTTGATTTTTGCTTCTGCCCCCTGATATCAGTAAGCCTTGTTCCCAGTTATCCCCCCCCTCTATGTTATGGAGAGGAGGAGAGGGTGAGGTGTTCTGTAGTCCAAACATAGTTCCTGTCCTAGGTAAATACAGTATGGTGAGCGTTGTCAGTAACACATATGGACTATCTATGATGGGACTTCAGGTGCCGCAATGATTGACAATCCAAGTATAATGTATTAGTTACAATGTCTCTCTATTTGTACACATTTTTATAAAAGCAGAAAAATCCCTACATAGTAAAATCACAGGCTGGACTGTCACCGTCTTAAAGGAGAAGTGCGCTTTATAACAAAGAAGCCTGAAAAAGAAAACGAAGGCAGCCGCCACATCTAAGGACTGAAGAGCTTCAATATATGAACTTTATTTGGTTCAGATAATTTGTGTTTTTTCCCCTGGAAGCTCCATAACCCCCCGCCCCATACTCTAATGCCATTATGGTGACAGTTCCTCGTCCACAGAGGACTATGAATACACAGTCCCTCATTGACTTTAATATGATTCAGAATTTCGGTTCTTCTCATTTTTTTATGCAACAGAAAATTTGGGTGGAATTGATTTTGGCTGCGTTCCCTGATCACGGTTCATCAGACTTTATGTATTCCTTGAGGCTGCACTTTATAATCCTGACACAATTGTATCCCGGTACTAATAACCTGTCATGTGGAGGCGGATCGCTGGCAGAATGCTGCACGCTGCTGGTAAATCAGATCCTGTACTACGCCCCCCTCTATGTTCCCTCCTCGTCCTCTCCTCCCTTGTACTACGCCCCCCTCTATGTTCCCTCCTCCTGCCTGTAGAAAGACACAGACACTCCTCGCACTGACTGCACAGAGCTCACCCTCCCAGCACTGCAGGAAGAGCAAGAGGACAGGACGGACTGCACGCAGGTACCGTATACATCATACGCGCGTCCTGTACATTGTATATAGACAGACGCTGTATATAGACTGTGCATGTCTTGTATATATGATCAGGAAGTCGGTGCTGTACATGTAACATGTCTGCATTGTACAGATCATACATACTGTACATAGAGTATACATGGATGTAGAGTACAGTATACATGTAGCTGTGCGGGTGCTAGTGATGATGGAATTCACCTTCAGCACGTCACAGCGGGAACTCCCAATCCTATTATAGTGTATGTACGGTATAGACAAGACTTCCTCTTAGTTTTGGATACAGTAGGGAAGAGTTAAACCTCCTTCACTTTATATGCGTGTCTGTACCCTGCTCGGGAGATTTCCCTTCACTTCCTGTCCTGGAGACACAACAGGAAGCGGGAGGAGATCCCCACAAAGTGAGGGGAAACTCCGCCCTGAGTTGTAACCAGAACAGGTGTCCCCCATTGGAAGATTCGTCCTCACCTCCTGTTCTGGTTTTGTCTTTTCCATCTCTTTCTGCCTCGGTGACAATGGCCACCAGGACCTACGGAGAGGGTGCTCTGCAGTGCATAGTGGACTTGCTGGCCCTTAAGCCCTTCGTGACCGACGACGTACAGCATCGGGGCTGTTTAAACAGACTCCCGGCAGGTTTTGCAGCCGGGACCCTGTTTAAACTTGTAAAGCCGACTGTCGGCTTTACAATGGAAGCGATTCTGGTGGCTCAGCTGTCGCCAGATCGCTTCTACAGTCCCGCGAAGGGGCCGCCTACACCACCACCACCACCACCGAACAGACCTCCCCCCGCCCCACACACACGCCGCCGCCGCGCTTCTTTTTTAATTAAAAAAAAATGGGTATTTTATTGTGTTATGGGGCATTTAAGTACATTTTTCACTAAATTTTGGGTGCAACATAAAAATTTGCAACTGTTCTATTCTATAGGGTCTCGGCTTTCAGAAAATATATAATGTTTGCAATTTTTAGGCCTAAAAGGTGGAGTATAACATGGGTGCAAAAAATGAAAAACAAATACAAAAAAGGCCTCAGTCATGAAGGGGTTAAAGTTAAAGTTTAAATTTTTGCTTTTCGAGCTGTAGCTCCCTATATACTGAGCTTAGGGTGACGGGAGGACACTAGTTTGTGTCCTCCCGTTACCCTAAGGAGAACTATGGGGAAAAGCCCTAACCCCATAGTTCTCTTTTTAATTTTGGGGCTCCCCTCCTGTATTATATAAAAAAGTACCCAATAGTGTCTATGTGTTTTCAGGACTTTTAGGACTGTTGGTGAGCATGGTGTCCCTGTGAGAGGTTGGCTTTATGTCTCACATACAGTGACAGGTTCACCTGGAAGTCTATGTCAAGCCAAAAACATTTTGTTGTAGTTTTGCATGGGGTGGGGGTGTTGGAAATACAGCAGCATGCAGGTGATTTGTATTACTGACATTCAGAGGTGTAATATTACCTATTGAGCTCTAGATGGCAGCATACTGCAATGTCAGTCCCCGGTGCTTGCTCCTCTATCATATACGGGGTTCTATCTGTATATATGTTTTCCTTTCTACAATGCCGTCTTCAGATGTAATGTTCTTATAAGCTGAATTCCGCATTCCTCAGGATCTCAGTGCTTCATCTAAACACATAACCAACATGGGGAAGGTTAGAACTCCTGTCCCATTTCTTACTCCTTTCCAGGTTCTCCCTAGGGTTGCCACCTGTCCCGGATTCACCTGGACAGTTTGGGTTTTGAGTCCTGTATGTGATGTTTCTGGGTTGCGGGCCAGCTGAAACCCAGACATAGCATATACAGGACTCAAAACCCGGACTGTCCAGTTGAATCCGGGACAGGTGGCAACCCTAGTTCCCCCTCACTTCCTGGTAAAGGGAAATCATATTCAAGAGGGGTCGGGACTTCAAATCTTTTCCGTATAATCAGACAAAGCTTACTGGCTCCGGTAGGCGGTTCTCATACAGCAAGGCTTCCTTCAGAGGTAAGTGACTTGAAACATAGAAAGTAGCACTGTTCAGGTGGCCCCTTGGCAGATAACACAGGCTCACCCGAGCTGGGTCTTGGGCCCCATTCACTCTTTTGAATGGGGCCAATTGCTTAAGTACCACAAATTCCTCCGTGAGACTCATGCAATCTGCTGCAAGCGGGAGGCATGCAATCCAATGAGAGCTGACACCGTCCGCAGCTGTTCGCAAATAGTCACTCAGGCTGCGAATAAGGCCTCATTCACACTAATAAGAGCCGGTCCGTACAGATCTGTGCAGCATGCACGGCCGTATCGGGCCGCTCCTGGGAAGGACAGGTGCTGCTTGTGATTGCACGCAGCAGCCTGTCCTTCTCTATGGGATTATACGGTGACTCCCGTCCACAGGGGAGTGCATGAGTCTCACAGAGAAATTCACGAGACCCCCCTGCAATGAGCCCTATTCACAGGTGTAAATGGGGCCTAAGTAACAGTATATTTTCACCTGAGCTCCTGAGGGTGGAGATGGGCCAGAGACCCTAGTGGTCCCGGTTTGCTTTAACTGTCAGGAGATTGTGGCCCTTAGGATTGCCCCAACAAGAGATATATCAGGACCAGGGACAGCTACAGCGTGGAGACGGCAAGGCAGGGGTCAAGGCACTGAGAGAGTAGTCGGGTCCAGGCAGTGGTTGAGGTAGATGGCAAATGAGAGTATTTAGGTCCAGGCAGAAGTCAAGGTAGGCGGCAATCATGAGAGTAGTCAGGTCCAGGCAGGGGCTGATGCAGACTAGAGGGTATTCAGGTCAATCCAGGTCAGCAACACGTAGGCTATCTGGCATCCCTTTAGTATTATGGCTCCCTTTAAGAAGGGGTTCCTGGTTAGAATATACAGAACCAGCCCCTTCAAAGGCTAGAGCTTAAATACTTTTTTGTTCAGAGGGCTTGGGTTCAGGGAACTGTGGAAGTCCTGGCAGGGATTTTGGAAGTACCTTTTGGAAGTCATGTCAGGGAATCTGGAAGTACCATTGGAAGTCATGTCAGGGATTCTGGAAGTACCATTGGAAGTCATGTCAGGGATTCTGGAAGTACCATTGGAAGTCCTGGCAGGGAATCTGGAAGTACCATTGGAAGTCATGTCAGGGATTCTGGAAGTACCATTGGAAGTCATGTCAGGGATTCTGGAAGTACCTTTGGGAAGTCATGTCAGGGATTCTGGAAGTACCATTGGAAGTCATGTCAGGGATTCTGGAAGTACCATTGGAAGTCATGTCAGGGAATCTGGAAGTACCATTGGAAGTCATGTCAGGGATTCTGGAAGTACCATTGGAAGTCATGTCAGGGATTCTGGAAGTACCATTGGAAGTCCTGGCAGGGAATCTGGAAGTACCATTGGAAGTCATGTCAGGGATTCTGGAAGTACCATTGGAAGTCCTGGCAGGGAATCTGGAAGTACCATTGGAAGTCATGTCAGGGAATCTGGAAGTACCATTGGAAGTCCTGGCAGGGATTCTGGAAGTACCATTGGGCTATGGACTCCCCCTTTGGCAGTGCTGAATGGCCCAATGCTGTCACATGGAATGAGTCACATTCTCCGGGAAGTATTGGTTGTTTCCTTTGGCTGCCACTGAAAAGAAAAGTGCAGGGAATGAAGGACTGGTGAGTATGTGCTGTGTTAGGTGGGGGTGGGGAGGGTAATGATGATAATAATAATAATAAGTAGGAATGCACAATACCATTTTTTTTTCAAGACTGAGTACGAGTACCGATACTTTTCCTCAAGTACTCACCGATACCAATTGCCGATACCTTATTTTCTAGTGTCATGTGACAGTTTTTGTAAATACAGGCTAATAATTTTAGGATAGTGGTGTTGCGCCAGGGCCCGGTCACAGCGGCAACCCTAGTTCTGCCTTCAAGCTGTAGAGGGACTACAAATCCCAGCAATACATTATACAGCAATGCCGAATGGCAACCGGCTATAGAGGACTACAAATCCCAGCAATGCATTATACGTCAATGCATAATAACATGAGGCTACATGCTCTGTACTTCTCCAGGGTGCCGGCTTGTTCTTTCCCAGCGGGGGATCCCAGGTGGCTCTGTGGGGGTCTCAGGATGGCTCTGTGGGGGTCTTAGAGGGCAGTGTGGGGTCTCAGGAGGCTGTGCAGGGTTTATGTTGGGCTATGCGGGGGCCTATAGTGGGCTGTGTGGACTCTCACGTGGCTGTGCAGGTTCTATGGTGGGCTGCGCGGAATCATAGGTGGGCTGTGTGGACACAGGTGGCTATGTAGGGTGTATTGTGGGTTGTGCGGGGTTAATGGTTGGTGCTGCTTTGTGCTAGGTTGTGCAGGGCTAATGGTGGCTGTGCTTCTTTGTGCTGGGCTGTGCTTCCCTGTGCTGGGCTGTGCTTCCCTGTGCTGGGCTGTGCTTCTCTGTGCTGGGCTGTGCTTCCCTGTGCTGGGCTGTGATTCTTTGTGCTGGGCTGTGCTTCTCTGTGCTGGGCTGTGCTTCTCTGTGCTGGGCTGTGCTTCT